ATTAAGAAATAGCTTTGACCTCAAATTCATATGGTGTTCCAGTCTCTGCACTGTTATACTAATGCCTAGGTACAATGCTAGTAATATCTCATACAGCATAGTTGTAGAGTAATGTATAGTTAATTAGGACATTGCAGTCTCAAAAAATGTCACTAAAAAAAGTTTTCATAAAAATACTTTCAAAATCTGAGTTGTCCATAAATGTAACTGATTCTCTACAGATAATTCTTGTCCAAAAATCCAATTTGTCTCTACAAATTGAAATAGTTATAATATTAATATTTACTAATTATTCTTCCTGTATCACAGTTTGCACATTTAACTTTAAATCAGATAATTGTGCACAATATTCTCTGTATGGTTCTCAATATGTTGATTACGCCCTCTAGTGTTCAACTTAGTAATGCTAATAGTTTATTGTTTTTTCATTGCAGGTTTGTGCATGTCAAGTTCGAGCAACGGGGAAAATGTATGCATGCAAAAAGTTAGAGAAAAAACGAATAAAAAAAAGAAAAGGCGAAGCCATGGCATTGAATGAGAAACAAATTCTCCAAAAAGTTAACAGTAGATTTATAGTAAGTATGCATACATTTTTGCAAAAACTTCAGAGACTTGTGGCTGAGAGTGAGTGGAACGTGCAACTTTCATCCCTCAAATAATGTTCCATTGTCTTTTATCACATCAGCTGTTCCAAATACCTTGGTTCCATAGATCCATAGAAGTGATTAATAGAACACTATTTGTGTGGCTGAAACAAGTTTCATTTTTCTCTCCCTCTCATCAAGATGTTGGCAGCCATTTAGGTCTATTCCTGTATCACTGCCAATAATCTGCATTTGTACTGAGACTGTGCTTGCAGTTATTTTGATATCTTATCAGCAGAGTCATTTCTATTACTGATGGACCTTCATCGTTCATCCATTAACATTTCAACGTTGAGTTACAAAAACTTAAAAGGATCATTAAACACTTTGTCATTTTATCATTAATTAATAGTATTTGAAGACATTGAAGGCATGATTTTATTACGTAATATTTGCATTGATTGTGCAGCCAATAATGCTCAGACATTTGTAGCTCCATCTGTTGTGGTTGAAGTGCAAGGTTCAAACCCATTCTTGGTTATATTTGGCACCTTGGCTAAGTTGCAAAGTCACAACCAAGGTTCAAAATCTACACGGTCAACTTTCAATGTACATAAAACAGTGTGGGTTATGTGCGATTTACAATGATAGCTGTTTCTCTTCTGAATAAAGACTTAGACAAGGTCTACTGAAATGAACAATGGGTCACATGATCGAGCATGGTAGAACCTCTAAATGACTTGAAGATCAATTTGCATATTTTAGAGAAAAATTCTGGATTAATTATTTGTATCAGTTAAATGTTACTGCGTTTCTTTAAGAGTTTGTGAATTTCATGCAGTATTTATTTGATGTCTGCAATGTTGTGAACATGATTACAAGATTAAGATGTATTCTGACTTTTTTTTGCTGCAGGTTAGTTTAGCATATGCATATGAAACAAAAGAAGCTCTATGTCTAGTTCTTACCATTATGAATGGGGGTGATCTGAAGTTTCACATACATAACATGGGCAACCCTGGCTTTGAAGAAGAACGTGCCCTGTTCTATGCAGCAGAGATTACATGTGGATTGGAACATCTAAATCAACTTCGTATAGTTTATAGAGATCTTAAACCTGAAAATATCTTACTTGATGACTGGGGTGAGTAGATGCCTCTTTACATTTTGGAGTAGTCATGTTGTGTTGTGTTGGGTAGGGTAGGGTAGAGTTTTTAGAAGCATGCTTTTCTTCCATTCCATTCCCCCCATTCCCCCTTCAAATTTGAATTTACCGTAGTCCAAAACCAGGAACTAATATTTCAGTCATGTGTGGTTAGTCCTGCACATCTGTAGTTTTATTTTAATTTTTTCATGTACATGAGACTTATCAGTATTTATTTTTTAATTTGCTCAAACCAGCATTTTTGTGAGATAAATTATTTGTTTCAATGCCTCATTTGCTCAGAAGCACATTTCCAATAGAAGTTACATATAAACTAAAAATTGCATTACTTGACCAATAAAATACAACTTATTTTGACCATACACACACCTCTGTCAGTACATGCACTCCTAACAGAGCAATACAAATACAGTATTGTATACTGGATCATTGGAATATGACTTATTTTGACCATGGACACACTCTGTCATCAACATAAAAGCATACACAACTCAGGGAGAAAATACTGTATATAGAGTAATGGCAGAATATGCCATGATGGCTCTGTTTACACAATGTGACTGCGAGAATTATGCTCTTATTTAGTAGATTTCACTTACCTATGTGTGCAATATACTGTCATCAAAGCCTGTCATATATTTAGTTGTTTTCATAACATGACATTAATGAATTGGTATTTTAAGGTGTATCTTTGAAAAAAAAAATCACTGACATAAATGTATTCCTTTGTTTATGACAGGCCATGTTAGGATTTCAGATCTTGGATTGGCAATAGAAATATCAGAAGGTGAATCAATAAGAGGAAGAGTTGGAACAGTAGGTTATATGGGTAAGTTGATAACCCTTCTTATCATTTGTCAAATGCAGTTTAGTCAACCAGTGAACCAGACTAGTGTTGAGTTTGACAAAAATGCTTTTTTCTGTAATTGTGATTAATGTTGCTGAATAGAGGACAGTATTAGAATTTGATGTCATACAAAATATTGATTTATTCAAA